ACCTCGCGGCTCCACCAACAGTCGTGGCTGCCGTCGGCGCCACACATACTTCTCAGGAACATACAGATTAAGCTGCCCTAATATCTCAGCATTAAACAATCTTCCTCGCAGTATTTTAAAAATATACGAGGTGAGCGCGAGTTCCCTCCTAACCCTCAGTTCATTATATCCTACCATACCTAATATAAATAAAGTTGGATACATTAAAGGGTAAATTGGGTAGACACCATAATAACGCATACATAAATATCTAATGAATTTATTTTGTACCCGCTCTAGCATGAGACTATACTTAGTTTCGTGCGGAGCCCAGATGACTGCATTACATTCAAGTTGACTCCTTACCAATGCATTATATAAGGTGATAATCGCTTTTATGTTTGTGAATCCTCTCACTGTACGAAGCATAAATCCTAGTTTTCTATAAGCTTTTTTTACAGATGCTCATGATGTGATCATAGAAAGTAAGTTTTGTATTAAAAGTTACTCCTAAATCCTTAACTTCTCTGACCCTCGTCATCAGCAGCCCGTCAATGTGATAATTATGTAAAATAGGAGTGTGTGCGCGAGAGAAAGTAATTAACACACACTTAGAGCTGTTAAATTGCAAGAGATTGTCTTTGCTCCAACTCACAACCCTGTCTATGTCCCTTTGTAGTCTGGCACAGTCATCCCCATTTTTTACCGCAAGAGACAATTTGAGGTCGTCAGCAAACAATAAACACTTAGCGTTCTTCACCACTTCTGGTAGGTCGTTTATCATCAGCAAGAACTCCAAAGGGCCAAGGTTACTGCCCTGACTTACCCCGGACCATGTGAAATATGGCTCTGACTGATATCCCGCATATTCTACATATTGCTGCCTATCAGATATATGACTAGCAAAAAAAGTGCAGTAAATGTGGGGTAAAACCCACACCTGCTAGCTTTTTAAGTAATACGTTATGATCTACCAAATCAAATGCTTTTTTGAAGTCAAAAAATGCCGCATCCGTTTGCACCCCTTTGTCACCACTCGGTGCCAGATGTGCCATCTGACAGAGAAGATTACTGGTTGTACTTCTTCCTGGCCAAAACCCGTGTTGTGCGTCTGAGAGTTGTGCGCTCACCTGATGGAATATTATCTTATAAATAGCGGCTTCGAATACTTTTGCCGGCGTAGACAACACTGCAATAGGCCTGTACCCATCCACTGACTCTGCTGAACCTCCCTTTGGAACCGGAACAACGCGGGTTACTTTCCACTTCTCTGGAAATATCGCAGCCGTAAGGGATTTGTTATATATATGCAGTAGTGGCTTAGCTAGTACCGACCGACAATCCTTAAAGATGTAAGGCGGAATGCCGTCAGGTCCAGCAGACCGTTTGGGCTTGAGTTCTTGAAACGCACGACATACGTCTGCCAACTGTAATTGGTCAAAGTGCACCCGCGCTGCTCCGTTTCCGCTACCTGCTCCTACTATAGCAGAGCCCACATCCAACTCCGGCCGCTCTGAACTATCATCATCATCATCATCATTACAGCCCTTCACAAGTCCACTGCTGAACATAGGCCTCCCCCAAGTAATGCCACAAAGCACGGTCCTGAGCCACCTGCATCCATCGACTTCCTGCATGTCTTACCAGGTCGTCACTCCATCTAGTGGGGGGTCGCCCTACACTACGCCTACCGGTACGAGGCTGCCACTCGAGAACCTTTCTTCCCCATCGGTTATCGGTTCTTCGAGCTATATGGCCGGCCCATTGCCACTTCAGCTTACTAATCCGTTGGGCTATGTCGGTCACTCTGGTTTTACTGCGGATATCCTCATTTCTGAGTCTATCACGCAGAGAAACTCCGAGCATAGCCCTCTCCATAGCTCGCTGAGCGACCTTAAGCGTCCTCATACGGCCAGCAGTGAAGGAGCACGTCTCAGATCCGTAAGTCATCACTGGCAACACGCACTGGTTGTACAATCTAGTTTTTAGAGATTGAGGTATACCTGACGAAAAGATATGCCGTAATTTCCCGAACGCTGCCCAGCCGAGTTGAATCCGTCGATTGACCTCTCGGTCGAAGTTGGACTTACCTAGTCGGACTATTTGTCCCAGGTAAACGTATTCGTCAACAACTTCGAGCATAGTGCTCCCAACAACTACCGGCAGAGGTGTGACATGGACATTGAACATGATCTTTGTTTTGTCCATGTTCATCTTAAGACCTATCCGTTGAGAGGCACTATTGAGGTCATTGAGCATAGTGCTTAAGTCCTCCAGCGATTCTGCCATAAGGAGTATATCGTCGGCAAATCGAAGGTGAGTGATGTACTCGCCATTGATGTCAATACCGTATCCTTTCCAGTCCAGTAGCTTGAAAACGTCTTCCAATGCAGCGGTGAAGAGTTTCGGGGATATAACGTCACCCTGTCTTACACCTCTCTGCAGTTGGATAGGTTTCGAGCTCTGGTTCTGTACTCGGATAGCCATCGTAGCCCTACTGTACAAACACTTCAGCACTTCGATATACCGACAGTCAACTTGGCACCGCTGAAGGGACTGTAGCACCGCCCAAATTTCGACGGAACCAAAGGCTTTCTCATAGTCCACATACGCCAGGCAAAGTGGCAGATTGTACTCTTCAGTCTTCTGTACAATCTGCCGCAGGGTATGTATGTGGTCTATGGTACTGAAGCCTTTTCGGAAACCGGCTTGTTCGGGAGGCTGGAAGTCGTCAAGTCTGCGTGCGAGACGATTCGTAATGACTCTCGAAAACAGCACGTAGACGCGGCTCAGAAGGGAAATCGGTCTGTAGTTCTTTAAGAGAGCGTTGTCGCCTTTCTTAAAGAACAAGACCACCGCACTTCTGCTCCACGCCTCTGGAGTAATGCCACCATGGAGGACGGAATTGAAGAGCTTCTGAAGGACTTCAAGTACCGGTGTTCCACCCGCTTTCAGAAGCTCCGCTGTAATTCCATCCTCGCCTGGGGCCCTGCCGTTTTTAAGGTGCTGGAGAGCCATTCTAATCTCGCTTAGACTGACGTCCGGGATATCATCGGAATAGTGTCGGATAAGACTTGCTCTTGGATCGTTACTCACACTTGCGTGTGGCTCCAACGATGATGTGTACAGCTGCCCATAGAACCTCTCAATCTCACTCAAAATCTCAGGTGTCCCGGAAACGATGTTGCCACACTCAGTCTTCAGCCTTGACAGTTGGCTCTTTCTGGCAGACAGATCTCTGGCAAAGACTTTGGAGCCCTGGTTCCGCTCGATCGCTTCTTTAATACGAGAAGTATTAAAGTTGCGTAAGTCTCGCCGTATGCATTTGGAGATCTGTCTGTTCAGTTGCCTGTATGCTGTCAAATCTGTTGACGATTGCAGCCTCATCTCCCGTCTAACAGCCATGAGATTAAGAGTGTGATCGGAGAGTTTTTGTGTTCTTCTGCGGCGGGTCTTGCAGAACTTAGCTCCGACCGCATGGACAGTTTCCACGAGCTTGTCGTTCATATCGTCCACTGCATTGCAATCTTCTAGGCACTGGAAGCGGTTACGTAACTCGAGCTGAAAGGTTTCGGGATTCTGGATTAGAGCACGAGGGGGACGGAGCGTTGACTTCATTAGACGAGACCTCTCCAACTTAACGTTTAGGTTCAGTGTGCCTCTAACCATTCGGTGATCGCTGCCAGTTTTCACCCTTGCGATCACTGAGACATCACTGAACAGTTGGCGTCTGGTCGTCATAATGAAGTCAATCTCATTTTTTGTCGAACCGTCGGGGCTCGACCAGGTCCACTTCCTGTGGGGCCGCTTCTGGAAGAAAGAGTTCATCATAAAGAGTCCCTCTTTCTCCATAAAGTCGGCCAGCTGCTGGCCCCTTCGGTTCCGTTGCCCTACTCCAAATTTCCCTACCTTCAGCTCACCGCTTTCTCTTGTGCCCAGTTTTGCGTTGAAGTCTCCCATCAACACCGTGTAGTAGGTTTTGGAGGAATGTATGGCTCTGGAAATATCCTCATACATTTCCTCCACCTCCTCATCGGGATGTGCCGAGGTTGGTGCGTAAACCTGAATGACCTTCAGCGAATACCGTTTGGTGATTCTGAGTATCAGGTACGCGACCCTCGTCGACACACTCCCAATCTTTACAACGTTGTTGACGAGAGATTTGTGGACGATAAATCCGACACCTCCTTGGGACAGATGGTCGCCCTCCCGGTGATAGAACAAGTTGCCGGACTCGAGGATTGCCGTGTCCTCCCCCTCTCTTCGGACCTCGGATAATCCAATAATATGCCAGCGCAACTTGTCTACCTCTTCTTCCAGCTCCAGTATCTTCTCGTCAGTCCTCAGGGTGCGTGCGTTATAAGTTGCCAGGTCGAGTCGTCGTAGGTGGCAACCGAACCTCCACCGGAGATTCTTAGCACCCCCTGCCCCGCCGTTACCATGGTCGCCACCGTAGCCAGGAATAGCGGGGCCGCCGGGGACTGGGGGCCGTCTGTTTGTGTATTTATTCATTGGGGGGTATTTGCCATAGTTGCCACGCTTGGCGAGCGGGTTGGCAACCGCAGTTTTTTATTACGTTACTCTGAACTATAAACAGAATAAAAATACTCCGCGAACTCGTCGACACACTGTTGATCAGACAACGCTTCCCCGTCTTTCAGAATCAATTGTGGACTTCTTTTACGTCTTTTAGATTTAATAAAATTCCAAAAAGATTTTGGATCCTTCAACATTTGATTTTGAACACGTTGTTGATACTGTTCCTGTGCGAGACCTATCATTTTCTTTACTTTGGTCCTACACTGAGCAAACGCCTCGTAGTCAGTAATTGGTCAAAGTGCACCCGCGCTGCTCCGTTTCCGCTACCTGCTCCTATTATAGCAGAGCCCACGTCCAACTCCGGCCGCTCTGAACTATAAACAGAATAAAAATACTCCGCGAACTCGTCGACACACTGTTGATCAGACAACGCTTCCCCGTCTTTCAGAATCAATTGTGGACTTCTTTTACGTCTTTTAGATTTAATAATGTTTCCAAAAAGATTTTGGATCCTTCAACATTTGATTTTGAACACGTTGTTGATACTTTTCCTGTGCGAGACCTATCATTTTCTTTACTTTGGTCCTACACTGAGCAAACGCCTCGTAGTCAGTTTTCGATCCACTGGCCTTGTACCGTTTATGCAGAAAAGCCTTAAATCTTATGTCGCGAATTATTTCAACAGTGTACCACTCCGGGTAAATGTACCTGGAGTTTACACGACTTCGCTTTTTTTTCGGAACACAGTCATCTATTGCAGAATTCATAATTTTATAAAAATATTCTAAGCTCATTTCTAAGTCTAACTCATATAAAGAAGTCCAATCTACGGCCGCAATTAAGGAATACAATGTTAAAAAGTCGGCCTTATTAAAGTTCCAACCTACGAATGTATTAATTTCTGGTGTAGCTGAACCTGCTGAGTCGGACTGACGGCGCAGGCGCGTATTTGTACTTACCGAGATCTCGAGCGGCGGGTGGTACGCGTCAACAGGCACGAGCGGCATCTCCGCCACGCGCACACTCACACCGCCTTCCTCTGCCAATGTACTCAACACTAGATCTAATTGACGATCGTTGCAGTTACCTACTTTATTGCTCTGAGTAAATCCACAAAAAGTTTGAAAGTATTCATAGTAATTGCTCACAGCGGTAGAACATGAATACAAGTTAAAATCCCCTAAAACTAATAATTCACTGTACTTATCATATAATTGTTCAATAACGTTAAATAACAAGAAATATTCATTATCACTGCTACAAGGTGGAATATATACAACACAACTAACACCAATACAGCAAACATCACCACCCGCATACCTTCATCGACCAGAACCACAAGAGTGCGTCGAATCGGGCGCAGCACACCCGCCGATCCATCACAAGACGCAATACCGCAAGCAGCAGTAAGCATCAATGCAACTATCATACGGATGGCGCCCCTCACAACACACCCACATGATCCCTATCGACTTTGGTAAGAAAGTTTGTATTGTTGTTATCTAAAAAAATATCACCAACGTATCATAGTACCACGCTACTAAGACGCCAGTGAACAAAACTCCACGTATCATAGCGCTAATGCACTAAGACATGAAGTTGAGTATGTCTGTTACACTTAAAAGTGCTACCAAACACACTCATCCCCATCCGAATGATAGACGACGCATCGCTATGCGCTACGACGCCACCCACAAACGGTATGAGTGTGCGATGTCCACGGGAAAGCCGTATTGCTACAAGAAAGCCGCTTAACACCGGCACTAAGATGATATGTCTAGGACACATCGGTTAGCGAGTCCAAGTTTACCTCGGACCAATTGCTCGTGAAGCAGCACACACGCCACCATAATATTCCTTTTCAAGTCCCTAATAAGGACTAGTCATTTTGCTACAGTACTAAGAGCAGTCGGTCACCCGACCACCCCATATAATGCTTATGCATCAAGGAGACCTTCTATAGTATTGCTTTTGTATCATTGAGTTTACTATCATAAGTCATTACTATATAATTGTATTCTGTGAGAGCGTGGTCCTGTCCCGGTAGAGGCGACCCTTCGGACTATAACTATAATCTAGCTGCAGCGTAGCTCTAAATATGAACACTGTTAATAATGTACTGAATAAAAAATATTTTTTGCTCCTCTTTAACTGGTAAACAGTCAATAAGCATTAATCATTTACTGTTTCCCGTTCTTCGGTGTCATATAAATCTAATGTTAGATTTTTTACGTACGATGGAATGTCACGTTTCATTTTATTTATGGTACCAACTAACAATGGCATCTTGAAAGCAAGTACTGTGCGAGAGACACGTATGTGAAATACTTATCTGTAGTCACATTTCTATCTTTATTCACAAATGGTTCCATGAGATGTATGACGAGGTATTTTCCAAGACTCTGATTTTCCGGTCGAGTTTCATCCTTCCCAAGATATGGTTATTCGACAAGTCTTTCGTACGTTCTCACAGAATATCGGCGTAAAATAGCAGCCCAACGCTAGGCACTGTATTTCGTATGGTGAGTGTAGAGAACCGGAGACCCTTTTTTACTGGAAATGAGGCATCCCATCTTAGTCCTCACCCGTGAGGGAGGATAGATTACGATATCTATGGACCACAGCGACCACTTACCATCACTGTGTATTCGTTTGTCACCCTTATATTGTAAAAAAGTACCTTAATAATGTCCTCCAGACCGAATTTCGGTCACGGGGGCCAGCCACAACGGAAATAAGCTATCGGCGCAGGTGCAGGTGTACTCTGTATTCATAGTCCGATAGGACGGTAAACCGACGTGACTGGAGAGATACCAAGCGCAGGACAAACGACTTTACGTACTTTCCGAAGCACGGGCGTGATACACCAACAAATTCCTGACTTCGGGCAGCTACAAAGAGTTTCTTGACGGAAAAACTTAATAAATTATTTTTTGGCCCGACCCGGGACTCGAACCCGGGACCTTATGATCAGCAGTTGAGTCTACAACTGCTAGACCAACGAGATACTCAATTAAGCTCCTTAAGTACTTAAAACACTCATACTGTCGTCATCGTCATCGACCATCTTCTGGTTCTAGCTGTTGTCGAAATCTTCCAAAATCTCCGCAATGCAACGCATCAAATAATGTGCTGCTGTTATGTACTAACTATTTTTTTATAGAATAAGTATGACAAACAAGCACAAAGTCTATCTGATGGTAAGTGGATGCTGTAGACTACAGATATCTACATTTATCCTCAATAAGGAACAAAATGCTGATGCGTTGTCACCACTGAGGACCGAGATGGAATGCATCATTTCCAGTAAAAAAGGGGTCTCCGGATCTCACTCACCATACGAAACACAGCAGCATTAAGCTGCTATTTTACGCTGGTATCTTATTGTTTTCTTATTTTTTTAAAACGTTACCCCTACCCCTACACTAGGATTTTCTCCTCTATGGTGGGGGCAGTTTACAAACATAAATTGCATATAGACAAACATCCAGACCCGGAACAATTATTTGTAGGGCATACTTATTCCATGCGGGATTCGAACCCGCGACCCCCAGTGCAGCCACTCATTGCCAATCCACTGCGCCACGGAGTCGTCAATATGGTATAATATGAGAGCGTGGTCCCTCATCGTGATACAACCACAATATGGCTGCAGCTCTACCGTGTATTATCATTACACCATACCTAATTTTACAGAGCCAACATAATTAAGGGATAGTAGTACGTGGCATCCCATCTTAGTCCTTAGAAGTGACAGTGTATTTGAAGCTTTCTTTGTTTGAGGCAGGCTGCAGGTGTCAATGGACTGCAGTAGTCAACTTACCGTCACCACTTACCATCAAGTAATGATGATGATGATGATGATGACGACCATCCGTCATGAGATAGGTAAGTTGTGGCTTACTGATGGCTCATCGTTGCGAGTTGATATTATAATTTATATGTATACTTAACATATGGTAGTAAAGTTGGGTGTGGCAGAAGAAGCACGAAAATAGAATAAATGCAATAGAAATGCAGTCGCAAAAGAGTATGTTGCTTGACTGCTTCGGTGGTTTGGTCATGTAGAAAGAATGAATGAGGAAGAGTGACAAAGCAAATTTATGTTGCAGAAGTGGATAGAAGAGTTAAAATTAGGAGTACACTTAACCGACGAGTGTGTATGCGTAGGCATATGAATGTGGAGGAGGCGAGAGAGGTGAAGAAATGGAAGTAGAAACCAAATAGTCTCTGCCTACCCCTCTGGTTGACAGACGTAAGTGTTTTGTCCCGGGCTGTAGAACAAAACACAAACAAAACGGGAAGTGAGGGCACTTCCCGTGATAGATGCGATAAAATACGCAAAGAGATGCTACATCTCTTCGCAACGCCAGTGAATCGAACTGTTAGGAGGCCGATCCCGTTTGACTTTTTAAAAAAAGAAACACCAAATAAACCTAAAGGTTTACGGTTTAAGGTTTACGCTTCTGCATAGCAGAGGGCAGCATAGGTCATTAAGGACAATTTGTTATTGCATCAAAAACAATGCATTTTATTGGAAAAAATACTCAAAGAAGTTCAAGTAAAAGACAAAAAAGACGATATTTCATTTCGTTAAGCAAACATGTCATCTGAGTGTTTTTATTAATTTAATTCCAAATAACAAAAGGGAACTGGCAGTTCAATTTGCACAGATGACTTTTATTTAATATTACCTTTATATATATTTACTTTACTTAATAAACACCTTTCAATTGTTCGATTCGCGTCATTTTTGAGTACATAAACTGGGCTAATACACATGTAAAACATAGCCGATCTAGCGTCGGCCTAGGTGTAATTCCGATCCATAGGCCTGAAAATGCATCGGCTTCAGACTTTCTTACTGGTAATCGTGCTCAGTGTAAGTTACTTTTTGCAATTATTTTTATAATTACCGTTACTGTATATGTAATATCCTATTAAAAATCTACTGTCGAACAAAAGCATTCCTATATATCGCTCATAGGTGGGATAGTAGGCATATCTGCCACGTTTGGCAGGTTAGCAACCACAGTTTTTTTTTTGTTTTAAGGATAAGGCTGCCGCTTCCTTCTCCTTGTTGCATTTTAATATAACCACGGGACGATATCATCCGCGTAGTGGCGTTTTAAGAATATCAGCTACCTCATTTCAATAATTAATTATTACTTAATAATTATAAAATAATTAGGTAATATTAATTGAAATAAATATAAAATGTTTACATTATTGCATAAAGTCATAAAAACCTGTAATATTAGCGACAAGTATGGCTGAATAAATAAATAAACAATCTAAGTAAGTACATTGTTTATTTATCTAAGTAAATAATCTATACTGTCCGAATAGTCCGCAGGTTTCTATCTCTTTCCTCTCAACCCTCGACCGCTTGTCATCTCACGTCGAAGGCTTCAATCTAGTCAGGAATTATCGATGTAGTTCATTTATTCTATTTGACATGTATTTAATTTATTTAATTTATTCTAATCATATGTTAAAAATGAATAAGTATTTATATACTAATGGCCGCCTAACGGTTGAACGAAGGTGGTTCATCAAAGTTTTAGGTTTGCTTATTACGCAAATTGTATTTCACTTTTAACTGCACTTTATAATGACATAAAACACAGATATCAAACATAAAATAAATGCTTTTAGCCTGACATTCACTCCACACATTATTATAAGAGAAACATTTGAAATCATACAATTCACAGTTTACTCAGTCAATCTGTCGGTAATTTTTTGTATAATTTGTATAACATTCTTTACCTACAATCTCTACTCTGTGAAACCTTTTGACCGCAGACTAATGTGAGTTTGATATTAAGTCCTAGAGACATTGGCAATATGAACGTCAGCAATTAATGTTTTTTAATGTGTTTGTAACACGTATTATAAATAAATTTTAACATTTGCACTCCTTCTTCATACGAACTTTATATATGTCATTCTATGAAATGTCATTTTCCTCTGTGCACGCAATGCTTAAGAAGGGGTACACATT